ATATCAGCAAAGAAAATAATATTTTTTAAATAGTACCATAATATGAATCTAGTCAAATACTTAAGTACCTACTTATTACCATTATAAGAACATAGAACAAGAGCATAAGAATTGACAGTGAAAATAAGTTTAATTTGTGGAATATGTTATAACAATCTGCAGATTAGTATTAGCCATTAGCAGGGCTCGTAAGTTCATGCATCTGCATGTTTTTTCTGCTACACAGCAAAACATGCTAACTGAGATACAAATCCGTTTCATAACAGTAGTAACAATAATATAAAGTTTAATAGTGCATGTTTTTGCATGTTTTGGATGTTAAGGCATATTTGGCATATAGTCGAATTTTTAGAGTTGTTAGCGCATATTATTTCATGAAAACATTTTTTAGACAAATATTTGAAAAGTTTCTCGTTTCTTCTTTATTTTCCCGTTTACAAAATGATAGTATTTTTATTTATTACCTACCTATTATTTCCCTGTGACTACCTAGAATAGTCGAAGAAATCCAAGACACATTTACAGAATTAGAAGGACATCACGGAATTGAAATTTAAAAAAAAACTAAAATATGTTTTCGACAAAAATATCGGGTACAACATAATTTGTAAAATTTCCAAGAAGACAATATTGCAAATTTAGATCTACCTGATGATATGACTGCAAAYGATTTATTGTACTTCAAATATGCACCCCTTACTTCAGCAGATGTAGAAAGATCTTTCTCTATGCTCAAAAACTTATTGATAGACAATCGCCGATCTTTTAAGTTGGAAAACATAAAAAAAATRCTAATAATAYAGTGKAATTTCTTAAGTAAATATAATTTTTATAAATATTATACAAATATATCTCAAAATGAAATACCTAATATTAAATTCCAAATTTTTTAATTGTAGGTGCAGAATAATGGTGTACCTACAAAAATTAGATAACAAAGACATATTATTCCTACTTAGACCTATTCATTTTTTTTTATTTTACTAATTAAATGTATAAAAATTAAAATAAAACACTTTTAAAATTAATGGATATATTCTTATTATTTTAAAATTTGCTCATGATTTTTTACATAATGCATATTTTCAGTGCATAATTTAGTAATTTTAGGGCATATAAATGCATATTTTCGAACTTTTAAGTGCATATTTTGCTAATTTTTAGGGCATGAATGCATGCTTATTTATGCATTTTTCAGTGCATGAACTTACGAGCCCTGGCCATTAGGTACCAGATTTTTCAAATATTTCTTAAATAATTTTCAATAAAAAAATGTTATAAATATATTTTTAATATTATAACATGCTTTTAGCATCATACTTGAGTTGTTAGTCCTCAAACTGTTTTTAGGTGTCACGTTTAATAACCAATATGGAAATCCACCCTAAAAATAAGAAAAATCCATTTGCCAATTTAAATCATATAAATTACATAAAATGCTTTATGAAAGAAAATATATTTTAAATTATAGGTACTTACAAAATCTCGTTCAGCGCATATATACGGACCTGGTCTCAAAATAAGATACATGTTTTCATTTTTGATTAATTCAATAAAATACTYCAAATCAGCAATCCCTTCAAAATCATACACTCCAGGAAATGGTTCATGTAAACTCCATTCAACATAACTGTATGATAATACCATTATTGATTATTAAAAAAATTAAAAGTATTATTTTCATTTGTAACACACACACCATATTATTTGTCTCACTTTTATATGAATATAATTGTATAAATGTAAGAAATAGATATAGATATTTCATTTAATTTAACATTATGATCATTGATCATAAATATAGATTTTGTACATGTCCTGTAAAAATGTGAATCATAATAAATATAAATTAGAATTCTAGGAACAAACAGAAAAAAAATGTATCAATATAAATTCTGAGCTAATATTTTTAGCTTGATAGTTTTTTGTTTTTTTTTATTAGACCTAGTTGACTATTATCTATAATTGTGCTAATAGTTTTGGCTATAAAGATACAATATATTAATTTTCCCAGTTGCATTTAAATTTCTAAAAAAGTAGTTATAATTTTTTTTTTAACAATGGAGCAATTTATGAGGTCTATTTAAAAAAAATTGATCTTAGTGATTTTAGTGTAGTTTAATAAATAATAATCCTAGACAATGATAATAGAACAGTGAGTGAACCAAAACTAAATTTCTAGTTGTCTATATTATTAATTATAAGATATACGATATACTTTATATAATTATACATAGAGCATCGGTACCCAGATTCTATGATATTGTCGGGTTGCAATTATATTATTATAAAACACATTACATATTATAAGAATTAATAATAATAAATAGTATAGATATTAGTTACGTTGTTATGGTGTTTAATCCAGCCGCTTTCATTTTTTGAATTCTATMTTTCCAATAAAGTTGAGGAATTCTGAAATAGTGCAATGAACCAGAAACATATCGGAATACTTTGCCGTCTTTGAGAAATTCATTATTTTCATAGTCAATGGTAAAAGTCTAAAAAAATAAAGGCACACATATGGTATGATATCTACCAACAAATTGTCAGTGTCGTTTGCTATCTACCGTAATCCGTGTTGACGGTATYGATAATATATTTTTCTATATATTATATATATTTATAAATTTATAATTCCTTTAGGAATTTCAAAGTTTTGTATTTTAGTATTTTAGAATTAAGTATGTGTTTGTTGATCAACAAGATCAAACGTCGTAGTTGTGTGTTTTTCATTATTTGTAAATTTATGGTTTTATAAAATGAGTACTTTGAGTGAATTATATAGAAAAATTATTTTTAATCACACAACTTGTATACAATTTTTAAAAGATTGTGATTTATTACCTAATACAAAACTGTGTACAAAGTTAAATTCTATGGAGAACAATGTAATGGTGAAATGAAAGAAACTTAAAAAAAAACCTGAAAATGTGATGTAAATGGAGATATTATTATAACAAAATATTTACGATGTAAAAATAAGGGTTGTCAAACATGGCAATCCATTCGTAAAGAGAATCCATTTTTAACTTGAAAGAAAATTGAAAGAAGAATGGTGGAGATCCGTCAATCAAAAAAATGTTTTTGAATGTTTTTTACAAGATGGTATAAAAAACATTTTTGTAAAAAAATAAAAAATATATGAACAACTGTTAACAAACAGGCTATTTATAATAGGACAACTGTAAACCAAAAGTCATTGAGTAGGTTAATAACCTAAGTTTGGAGATTTTTATATATGATTTTTTGGTAGATAGCATAAGACATGTGTGCCAAAATAAAACATAAATTTATTATAACCAAAAAGTCTATCTATAATTTGTTATATCYTATAAAATGTAAAAATTATAATTATAGCTACATAAACAGAGTGAAACATGTAAGTATACTTAAAAATAATAGTGAAAAATGTCAATAGCAYAAACTATTATTTGTAAAAATCATAAATTCAAAATTGAAATTTTAAAAATATATACTTAATATATAAGTAAATACAATAATGAATGTATGAAATACAATAATAATTTTAAATATTATAGATGAGCTAAGAAATAAGTTAGAAAAAATGTCAACTCTTTTTAATAACTTAAAATATTTATGAATAATTTATTTGTTGGTCCTATTTCCAATGACTTTTCCAAGTTTGATGCACACAGATATTAAATATCTATTAGTACCATAATCCAAGTACTCRGAAAGTTCTTTAAAAAAAAAGATTTTATAAGTTTACATTCACGTTCATTTTTTAAAAAAAGGCCTAGTTTCTTTCCTTGCTCCCCAATAATTTTAAAATTGTATTTATATTATTTATAGTAATAATAATTTCATCAAGTACCTGGTTGTTTTGTTCTTAATATACAGAGTGATTGATTTATCA